CCGGCCGCGCCGTTCTCAAGCCCGCCCGCCTCCGCTCACTCAAGCCGGACTCCGCTCACTCTAGCCCGCGGGCCTCTGCTCACTCTAGGCCGCCGCCGCTCACTCTAGGCCTCCGGCCGCCGCTCACTGTAGCCCGCCGTGTGTTTCGTTGTGAAAGTGAAACTACTTGTTTGGCCTTCCAAAAGAGGACACGACTAGAAATCAGTGGTTAAGTTGTATTTACAACACTGTTCCAGAACAGTTCAATCCAAATATTCAGATGTATCCAGGGCATTTTATGGAGGACTGTTTCCTGATCCTGGTAGAGTAGACTACAATGCCGGCTGTTCTGACTCACAGACTATAAGTACGTTTTTTTATATTTAAAGAATTTGCCAATGACTTTCACGGTGGACGAAGCGGAGTCCAGCCCGGGGTCGTCACATGTGGTTGCCGCAGGCATCACAATATGGTAAGGGACGTAACATTTCCGTCACATGCTTGAGGTATTCGGCCAATCACAACGTACTGGATAGCTGGCCAATCAGAGCACACCTTGCTTTTCAGACCGATGAGCTTTGTAAAAATCGACGCGTTTCAGAAAGGCGGGGCATAGAGGAGAAACAATAATGTACAGTATGTGGAAAATAATGTGTTTTTTGAACCTTAAACCGCATAAACACATTTCATTACACCAAATACACAAAATAATGTTCTTTTTAGCAACATCATATGACCCCTTTAATATGGTTTGTGTAAATGTGTGTTTAGATCCGTGCTGCTGTGTTGTTGATGTTGGGTGGGAGAGACAGGAGAGTATCACCTCACCAGGGTCTAGAGCTCTACAGAGCACTCAAGAGCAGGAGCACACCTGTCAGGTACACAAACAAACAAACACACTGCATTTAATAAACACATATTACGCTGATATTATTAATAGTGATAGACTAGGCTGATTAAATTTGGCCATTTTGAGATGTTGGTATTGGCCATTAATGGCATCTAAAACAACTTTGTCAATGGATAATTAACTTTTCTTTTTGCAGAGTATGATACAGTTTGGGATCAGAAAGATTTTTTCCTTTTTTTTCCTCTTTTTTTTTTTTAAGACGTCGACTGTGCTCACCAAGGCTGCATTTATTTGATCAAAATACAGTTATAACAGTAACATTTAAAAAATATTTTTACAAATTAAAATAACTGTTCTATTTTAATATATTGTAAAATATTTTAGAATTTTTTGGACTTTTTGATGAATAGACAGTTTAAAAGAACAGCATTTATTTGAAATAGAAATCTTTTGTAACATTATAAATGTCATTTTTTTATCAGTTTAATGCATTCTTGATAAATAAAGGTATTAGGCCTACTTAAAAAAAACAACAAAAAAAAACAAAAAAAGAAGTCTTACTGACCCCAAACCTATGAAACTGTATGTTGTTTTAGTACATTTTCAGTTAAATAAATATTGGTTTAATTTGGCCATGTTTGCCCTTGGCTTTTGAAAAACCCACTGCAGGCAACCACTAATCACTATTTTGAAATGTTCAGCTTTCTCTTTCTTTTTTCCTGTCTTTATCACACACATTCTCTCTTTCTCTCTCTTTGTCTGTCCCTCAGGTTATTGTGGTACAGTGATGAGGGTCATTCGCTGTCTAAAGTCAACACTCAGTCTGACTGCTTCCTCAACATCGTTCTGTGGTTTAAAGAACATTTAAACTGACGCAACATTTCTCAGAAACGCATATGAAAATATTAATCAAATGCTTTTTTTTTTTGTCTGCACATATTGTGTTTGACATTCTTGCCAAAACTTTAGATGTCCATGAATGTTGCACTGAGTCTGAAGTTAAAGGTTATACAGGTCACTGTCCACTAGGGGACAGACCTGTCCATGTTAAATTAGCACTGCTAAAATAAATGGTCAAATGCCAAAGGATGAAGTCATTATGTTTAGAAATCAGAGCTCATGTACTGTGATACTGAACTTCTCTTTTTAGAGTTAATATCTGAACATTCACCGTCTTTTGTGAGACGTTTACTCTTCGCTGTGTTTTTAATGGAGAGTAATGATCTTGCCAATATTTTTAGATCAAATCTGTTTGACTTTAAATACAAATACATGCTGATCGTTTGTAGATTTAAATTAGTTTGATTATGAAAAAAGTACATTTAGGATGGAAAGCAGAAGAGAAGAACAAAAAGCAATTTTCTAGTTTCTGAAATGTATCTATAGAGATCTTCAACATTCCATATTTATAAACATGATACGAGACAGAAATGTGTGATATTTATTTTGGCCAATGCTTATACACATAGATCCAGGTGTGCATGCTTGCTTTGGTGGAAGCTGTACCAGCTCACATGTCTAAGACTCTCGTGTCCGTTTCACTTGCAGCCCATTAAGAAAGGTATTTCCCTCAAAGATTTCTTTGTTTCATAGTTTTGGAACATTTTTGTCCTTTGAACACTTAATCTCAAAATCCTCTTTGACAGATTCATTCAGCTCTTGTGTTTCTATCATGAGCTTTGTTTATAATATTGTTATTAGGTATTCTGGTTTGCCATTTGTGGCACTTTGAGCTCCAGCCAGTTTTATGTTACAGTGTTTTATGGCCAATTGTAGCATGTGGATTTTCAATATTCTGGCGGTCTCAGGGGGCAGATTGCTTTATACCCTGTTAAGATTGCATTGCTAATGACCCACAGAGAAAGAAGTAGAACACAACAGGTCACCTGAGACCATTGCCACTGCCACTGTGTAAGAGAGAGAGAGAGAAAGAAAGAAAGAAAGGTCTGTATTATTCCCCCTTTGATCGGGTTTGGTGTAGGTGTCTGGGTCTTAGGCAGGTCAAATATCATTAAAAGTCTTTACTCTCTGTCTCAGTCTGCCTAGACGCTGAACGGCATGCTTATAAAGGAAGATTAAAGAGCAAGGCAGAATTTGAGAATAAAAACAAACACCCAAAAAGCAGGAAATCATTGCCAGGGGGTGAAAAGCAGAAGCAGATTAGAGGAAGTAGGGAGAAAAATCTGAGTAGGTTTAAGGTCACACTGGGGTAAAATAAGCCACAGCTCAGTTGGTGCTCTCATGAGCTGTGATGTGACAACTAAATGAAAACATGAAAGTTATCTGATGGCTCAAGCTTTTTTTTCCCCCCAGAATGCTGGGAGTTGGGTAAGATCCAGTAGGCCTGGGGCACGTTGAATCAACGGCCATAAATGAGACACCACTTGAAGCAGTGAATCTATTTGAGTTGGCAAAGTAATACAGCATAAATGAAATCCTTCAGACATCTTTGTTATACTTTGGTTCATGTTGCTTCTGTTGCTTTTGGACATTACAAGTCTTATATAAGTTGTTTTCTTTGATCTTAAAGTAGATCTTCAAACTGATAAACAGCTCTGCTCTGTTGTTTTCACCTATTAATTAGAAAAAGGAAACGACACAAACTGGCTCACCTTACCACAGGCCCAAAGTAAAGGTGTGCTAAACCAGGGTGTTGCTGTGAGTAGTGATCAGTGTCCACCCACCCAAAAGAAAACTAATCAAATGTTATTATTAGCATAGATTTTTACATGTCTTTTTATTGATTTATTGGCTGTTAGATCATTTATTGGACTATAATATGTGCTTGCCTCTGCATTGTTTCAATAGGATGTCTGTCATTGTCCATCATATATAAACTAATTTCTAGGTCATTTCAATGCCACCAGTGCCAAAATACTTTTTTCTGACATCTGAAATATTACACAATGAGCTATATAAAAGCAGTGTTATTGTAGTATTATTTATATATTATTATAGTGTTTGTTGCATTTTGAATTAGCTTTTATTTTGTTTTCAATTTTCATTTTAATTTGAGTAATTTTATGTTTTTGCAATTTTTTTTGTTTTTATTTTAAATATTTCTGTATAATAAATAAAAATTATTTTCTATTTTAGTTTTAGTAATTTCAGTCTAAGTTTATACTTATTTGAGTTTCTGATATTTATATTTTATTTTAATGAATGAAAGTCATTTTTAAATTGTTTTAGTTTTAGTCGTAGGGAACAATGACACTGTTTAAAAGTTGTTAACAAGTTTCAACTGAATAAATATTGAAAAGGAAAACCTATGTGGTTTATAAATACAGCATTTAATATTTGTATTATATTTCAGTTACCGGAAACAATTTGTAATAGTTTTGGATTATCAGTACAATATATTTAAAAAAGACCTATCTTACCTTCAGTCTCACTAAATTCCCTGCAGTCTCACATGAAGTCCCCAGGTCTCTATTGACAAAACAATGTGGAAAATTGAGCAGAAGGGTAAAAAGACTGTAAAAGAGTCCAATCCAGAGAAAGAGAGATAGTTTAATAGATAGTGGTAAGGTGAATGAGGAGGGCCAGAATTGACCAGTCATACCCATTAATGAAAGAGTATATAAGTAGTGGGGCTGCTCGTGTGTGGTTATCAGTGTGTTTAGACAGAAGGCTCTGGATGGGATTAGAGTGAGTAGAGGACATTAAACGAGCATTTCCACCTGCTTGTGATTTAGTGTGTTGGATAGGAGATGCGATACTACTTAGTGTGAGGGATGTGAGTGATATGTTGTGTGAGTTTGTGTAAGCCTGAAAACATTACTACACTCTCATAGGGTGTGAAGAGTGTGTTTGTGTTTATGTGTTCAGGGGGCCGGAGGCTAATAGACTTTTGGGGTAATTAGCATGCTGCTGAAAACCATTAATTCATCTCACCTTTCCTTCCCCATGCTTCCATTCGTGGGCCGGTCCGCAGCGCTCTGCTCAGTTGTCACTGTAATGGATGAGTCCATTAGCTGCCCCTGGCAGGGGAGGTGATCGGTCAGAGAGTAAACTGGGTAAAAAGGGCAAAACTGTCACCAAACAACTTAAGCTAATAGCGTCGCCACTTTACTTGATGAAATGTGTTTAACACGCTCTCTTGTGCTTTTCGCTTTTCTCCCTCCGTCCCTCAGATAAACACACATGGCCAAAACCTATATTCCATTGACTCTCTCTGCCGTCCTCTGTCATTTTCTCATTCCATCGCTCCCTCCCTTCCACCGCTTTGCCGTGTAACTGTTGTTTCTTGGGAGTGATGGAGCTGGAGAATATTTGGTCACTTATAAAGAACTGACATTTCCTGTCAGCGTTTGAGTGTTATGACTGGGCATTAGGGTGAGACGGGGTGCTGAAACTGTGTGTGTTCTGCAAGCAACAAATCCAGCAATTCACCAATTTGACGTTCACCAGTGAGCAAAGAAAAAAATCCAAAACAGTCTGATTTTGTATATGCTCACTTAGAATTGGACTATGTTCAGAATATAATAATAGTATACTGCATAGTATAAAGCACACTGAATCCTGGCTATTATGAAAAATAGCATGTGAACAACATGGATTAGACTATAAAGATTTCAAATATTATGCTATGATACAGTAGTATGTATTGTTTTTTCATTCTTTGGCTGTGTCCCATTTCAGAGGCTGCCTCCTTTGGAGGCTGCATTCGAAGACCGAATGCATCACGGTGAAGCAGTTAAGGCTGTCCCATTTCAAAGCTTTCTTGAAATGCAGCCTTGGAATGTGTACTTCACTTCCCAGGCCATGAAGGATACAACAAATATATCCTTTGTGGCCCAAACTATCCGAAGATTCATTGCGCAACAGTGACAACAGGATGTCTAAAAAAAACTAAACAAACAGACAAACAAAACAAAACATAGTAGGCTGATGTGTCCGCAGTGAAATTCAGCTAATGTCTTTTTTATTAGGGCTATTTCAGTTCCTTTTGGGCTACCAAAATCTGAAGAATGCCTTGCCCAAAGGGCTACCAGAGATTTTGAAATTTTGCAAGCTCTGATTTACAATATTGCCAAAAAAGTAATGAAATATGCAATACAGAATATAAATTGGTTGAGGTAAATAGAAGAAATATAGACAGTAGTATGAGAAGAAAAAATAGTGTACAAGCACATTGTGCACTGTTTTGTATTATTTGCATATTTTAGGGAAATGTAGTTGGTCGTCTGGGTATTCCATGAAATGAACTGTGCACAGTAATGTATTCTGCATGAACAGTACCAGTAGATCATAGCCGTGATCTGTCATATGTTATTCTGTATTTGTAATGCAGGTTTATTCTAAGAGACATGGAGTAAATGACTATGTAATCACTTGGGTATTAAGACTCAATCACATTTGCTCACATTCAAACTTAATTGCTCTAAATTACCCACACACAGGTTCTTATCAGGTGTCTGAATGAAAGAGAGTCTTTGATGTTTAGTTCTGTAATTAATGCACTTTATGACCAGCCTCATCCCAGACTAAAACCCTGCCTTGATATACAAATTGAATTTTCTGTGTGTGTGTAATTATGATTGCATAAATAGCGATTCTTTTGTTCTGTTTGTTTTAATTGAGTCCGTAGATCACTTATTTTTCTGCCCTTGGCTTCATCGTGAGCCCCCGCAGGCTGAGCGGTTATTATGGTGGGATGTTTTCCCCTCTCATTTCTCTTTCTCAGTCCAGAGGATGCTGCTTATCCAATACTAGATGTTTTTGGCTATACATGACAGAGTTTCTCTTTATATTTACATAGCCGGAAGGTAGGATATGTGTCTCTGTGTCCGTTTCTAGTTATTAAATGAGTGCTTGAGGGAGATGGAGAAATTCAGCAACTCTGTAGTTTAGGGTTCAAACCAAAGACTTTGGTTGCCAGCCCAGATTTTTAATCCTCACCCTGGCACCAACCCTGTCGTATGTGTATTTGTGTGTGTTGTTTTGGAGTTAAATATTTTGACTGCAGCGAAGACAGAACTGAGACACTGTTTAGTATTTAGCAAACTCCCTGAATCTAATAATCCATGATGCAGTTAAATTTGCATTCATTACGTTTTTCCTCCCTATTGTCCCCACATGACCATTAGAGAAAAAAGTAAGGGATGGTTACCACGGTATTATATGGCAACACCAATAGTTGATAAATACCATTGCAGTGAATGATTACCATATTCATGTCCCATCATATTTACAGACATCTTACCACCATTATCTAAACAAACAATGGTGGTACTTTTTGGTATTCATTTCTGGTTTTGACCAAAGCTCCATATTCACGCATTAGTGAATCCAGAATTTTCTAAGCTCTTGACACCCACAGCATATGTTATGGCTCATTCTGTCCCATAGTTGACTGCATATATTTAAAGACCGTTCAAGTTCAAGTCAATTTTGTACAATTTTAAAAGTTTTCAGGCTGATAAACATTCCTAATGAGTGTAAACGTAATCTCCCTTTAGTCAGAGGCCTGACTATAATCACAGTAACAAACAGAGACGGACCGGCTGTAATGTTTGCCACATGTTCCTGATCACAGATCTGCAGGAATTACATTATAATCCCAATTTAAAGGAGACATATTATGCCTCTTTTTACAATATATAATATAAGTCTCTGGTGTCCCCAGAATGTGTCTGTGAAGTTTCACTTCAAAATACTCCACTGATCATTTATTATATTTTGAAAATGCCTATTTTGAGTGGAAGCAGAAACACGCTGTTTTTTTCGGTCTGTCTCTTTAAATGCAAATGAGCTGCTGCTCCCCGCCCCCTTTTCCAGAATAGAGCTGCACCTACAGCTC